TCGCGAGTGGTTTTGAATCAGATGAGTTTGAATGTAGTGGCTCGTCATATACGTTATGGCCTCAGATATTAGTTTTTCGCCCTCTTACTTCGTTGGAAATGCTCTCGCCCCAAATAGCCAGTGAGTAGAACTTCTACAACAAAATCTATGAACATGAGACATTTGTGGACATTTCGTTAGAAACCGGAGAAAATGAAATCCGTCTATCGAAACGTCTACTCTTACCCATATTTTTAGGGTTGAGGAATTCGATCAAAACAACCGAGAAAGATTTCGATGCCTGGACCACATTTTGAGATGACTCACGTGATCAGATGTACAACGTGCCCTGCAGGTCATATTCGTGGTGTATTTAATAGTTTGAATAATTGAATCTTTCCATGAACCCCGTGTTTGCCTCATCTCGCCAATGGTTCGTGTATTGCGCATCATTGTCTGTTTACGGTGCTCTCATCACATGGCACCGTTAACAATTTTTTAGTTGTTTTGGAACTTGTTTTTTATTCATAGTATTCATGCCTCTACCGTAATTCTTTAAATACTTCAGATCAAATTCGATCGAAATTTTCTTGGACCGATCGACACTGGCGGATCAGATGAGATAACCGCAGGATCACAAGGTAGAATTCGACACGCATTACGTCAATCCTGTCTGTCTGTGTTGGAAATCGGCGGTCCGTTGCTACGATCCCCGGTGATAGGAGTGCAAGTCACATTCCGACGACTTCTGGTTGGTAGGCAGGATCAACTTTCTGCGGATACAGATCTAAACCATCTGGATTCAAATCAGTTCCGATTACCTCCTCGAATAGCAAGCGCCCAGACAGTTATACCCCTTCTTCGAGCGTCTGCTTCCAACGCAATCAAAAATGCACTCAGTCGTTTCCATTCTTGGCGTCTTATGGAGCCAATGGTTCAGGTTGAACTTCGGCTTCCAGTAGAGGACAAGGGTATGTTTTGCTAGGCAACATAGAAGTTGCTTCCCCCCAATTTAATCGCAAGAATCACCTCCTCACTGATAAATATACGATGGAGTTCAGTTGGTGTTAAAGTGTCGACAATACTATTATATTCCACGGTGTATTTTATTTCGATGGAATATGTTTTATCAAATTGACTGAAACTTGTCCAAGCAGGGAGGAAAGAGATCAGTGCCGTTGTCAAGTACATTGTCAGCTTAACCACCATCAATTCGATCGGTATCCTGAGCAGGTGATTCTAGAAGTGCTACCATGAAAAAGCTCATAAAGTAACTTCTAGAATCTTATTTACGCTTTTGCGTGTCATATAGTAATACTCTCAATCTTTACTGGTAAAGTGCTTGAGTGAGATTTCTTCTTTAACTGTCTCTGGGCTTAAATTGAATGTTAACGTAGTCCTTCGGTCTGCCTCATCGATGCGAACATAACGATCTCCACTCCTAGGGGCCACGTTTCCGCGTTACACGCAGAGTGGAACAAAGTCCATGAGGTGATATGAATGGGAAAATTGTATTCTTTTGTCGTTTTTTCAGATAGTACAAGTGGGTGAACTTGTTTCTCCAAATATGGTCTTTTATATATAGAGGACCATTAACTCTAGGATAAAGAGAAAACCACACGGCAAAGGACAAAGTACAATTTGAGTTCTGTTAGGTGGATTGCTGTGCTGTGGCACAGACACACACGCACTCAGTCTTCCTCATTCTGTGTATGCGCGTGTGCAGTGACCATAAAACACAGTAGTGAGATATTCCATGGAAGTCCATTTCCGTGCCACTCGATGATTGTATAAAAGTGTCCGTATTCTATCAGTCATCTTGATGATTCTAGTATTGCAGATCACACACACACCAAAGTATTATGTCAGTTTAATGAAGCTTGTTGTTACCATGCGAGAATTTCAAATTTCAAATTGAGGACAGCTTTGGCAAAGTTAAACCAGACCCACTGGATCAACCAGCCAATGGAGAACAAAATGAAAGATGTAGGACACATTTTGAATAGTGCATCCTACGATCTTGATCTTAACAGTCTGTTGACAACACATCACTCATTTTCCGGTTCTGATTCTGTCAACTGGGGAACAGATGTCATGTTTAGGACTGAATTAAATGATGGCGAGGTTATTACCACCATTCATTTGATCATTGTTAAGGAGTGTCAACCTGTCTGGTGTATACACTTCTTTTTAACGTATTGGAACACAGATAGATTTGAACTTGATAGTGTGGCTTTTTATATGGGAAATCAGGGATTGTAGTACTTGTTCTCAGTTGATCACGGGTTTGAAGGACTTGAATCCGAAATCAAATTGTGGGAATTGGTTTTCACATTCGGCAACTAACGTTAGCATCAAGTGTTTCGTTCATTCTTCCCGATGGCGTTTTCATTTGGGAAGTCATGAGTGTATTTGCCTCATCTGTACTTTAACTGAAGTTTTAATAACACGTAAATCATTGTCTATCTTTTGCCAACCCTTATCCTAATCACCTTCTTCTCCACATTCCTTTTTTCCAGACGGTCAAAGCGAGTCTTTGTCACGATTTTTGGGGGACCTATCTTCCAGAAGAGCAGATATTGAATCTGTGGACGCCAGTGAATTCTCGCAAGAGGAGAAAAATTCGGAGCACCATAAGTATCACGTGATTCGCGCCATGGCACCGCTAGCGGAATTGGTTGGTTATTCGCGGACAGTACGTACGTTATCCTCTGGTCGAGCGGAATTTCATTTGAGATTGGCTGAGTATTCCCCGGTAAGCGCTGATCATCAGCAAGAATTACTCACTCAGTTCCGATGGACATCTCCCTCGACTGTGTAACTATTTTTGCATTTCTCTCAAATGACTTTCACTCCCTTGCTTTCTTCTTCCTGCACTTTTTTGTTTACTCTAGCTGTCTTATCTGGTGACTGTTTGACGTTTTTACTATATTACTCTTTCCCGAAATCAGGTTTTATCTAGCATCAGAATTTCTTCACAATGTCCCCTATTTTCTCACTCTCTTATGTATCAGTTTATTTCATCGTCAGCTGCGATTTTATTGATCAGAAGACTGACTGACCGGAGCTGCCAAAGCTGTGCATTTGCTTGCTTGTAGAACAAATATTATAAAAATGTATAGAATGCGATTTGATGATTGGTCCACGTCCATCATACATTTTTGTGCTACCGGCAACACAAATACTCCATGAGGACACTATTACTGGGCAATCAGCTGATCTTCATTATGTCCATTTGACGAGTTCTTCACAAGAGAGATCTTGAAAATATACTACTCGTATCTAGCTAGAGGTATTGACAAATTGTCCCAGAGGTTTGTTTACTTATGTCAGGTAGCTTTGCAATAGCCTCACATTTTCCAATTGTTTTATTCCACAAAATGTTCGTGGCTTTTACCAAAAATGGATACATTTTGAAATGAACGCAGGGTTCGAATTTCATGGTAAGGCTTGCGGTAATTTTTCGGCATATCTCTTTGGAAAATATTATCCTCTGACAGCCTAACTTGCTTTTCCTCAAACAAGGACGCATATGTTTTACGATAATCGCCTAGTATCGTTGACATGACCCGGCTACCATTCTCTCAATT